ATCACTGACATGGTAATCATAACTCTCTCTAATCGTACTATTAACTACCTAGTTGTCTAGACAGTCTCTATCAAAATAACATTGGCATATTAGACATGTTTAACATGTTCTTTAATTATCGAACGTTAATGAAATGATACCAAATATAAAAAATGTGTTACAAAGGATTACCATAAAAAAAAATATATGAAAAAAGATTTTTTTTTCATATATTTATTTTTTATTGTTATATGAATTGCAATTTTTGTTATTATTTTTAATATAACTATTTTCAAAATATAATTTATCAATCATTATTTCAAAAAAGTTTTACAAAGTTAAATAATTTACTTAGTTAAAATAAAAGTATTATAATATTATTTATGTAAAAATTATTAAAAATTATAAAAAGTAAATAAGTTGTATAATTTCAAATGAAAATTAGTTTTTTAGTTTATTAATTATAATATAAAATATATAATAAATAAAAACATATAATAAATAAAAATTAAAATAAAAATTAAAAATATGATTCTTAGATCAAAAATAGATCAAAATATATAATTAAAATTTTTAAATTTGGTAATTAAATCGTTATTTCAACGATTATTTCCCATATTTTTCGCTTGAAATATATCTAACATCGTCTTTCAGATCTTCCTCGCCCTTGTCGCAATGGCTCACTGCCAGGAATATTTCCGGCAACCGGAAAAGATCATAAGCGAGAACAGGAACCTGGGCGACAATCGTGGCCACTACTCGTTCACGTATGAGACTGAAGGTGGTATTGTGCAAACGGAGACCGGAAGTCGAAAGTATGCTGGCACGCCGTCCGAAACTCAGTTGATCCAAGGCTCCGTGCAGTACAACGCCCCAGACGGTACACCGATAGCGATTAGCTGGACTGCCGACGAATTCGGTACTCAAGTTGCCGGTACTCACGTGCCAACACCACCCCCAATACCGCCAGCCATTCAGAGGGCCCTCGACTGGATCGCGAAACAACCCTCGACCCCGGAACCCGAAGAAGCTGGCAAAGACTCACCAAGCCAACAAAACGCTGTTCCAGCAAGCACTAATCGACAATACAAACCGCCACGAACGAATCAACGAAACTAATTACTCGTGATCCGTGACTCGTTAAAATACCTCCTTAGTCATAATATCTTGTCTAACATTTCTATGTAATTGTAAGTTAATATTTCTATCTCGAAAAATCGCGAGATTTTAGGTTAAGTTTGCGAAAATTTTTAGGTTAAGTTTACTTATCTGAGAATATATGTAAGAATTGTTAATAATTGAATTGTGATGTATTGTTAGAAAATATTGGTTAAAGCAAAAATTAATTTTAACAATTTTAAATCTTTTTAAAATATATAAGATTTTCTAATTTTTGTTAAATGATACATGAAACTTTGAATATTTGAATGTATCTTGAAAAATGGAAATGCTAGATGAAAAATTTTAATTAAGGAGGAAATATCTGTTAAAACAAGTTTTTATGTTAGTTTTTTTTTTATAATGTACAAAATAAAATTTATATTTTCATAGAAAATTCATTTGGTATGAATTTGACTCGTTTGATCGATGAACGTTCATATTGATTTTTTTTATTCGAGAAAGTTAGAAGATATAATAATTGATATATTTTATTATGATCTCATAAATACATTTAGAAAGAAATTATTATATAATTTTGTACAACTTTTGTTTTTTATTTTTTTTTATTTTTGATTATAATCGATTTTTCTGATTATTTTTTCTTTTCTTTCTCTTCGTGTTGTATTTTTTAATCGTCTTCCTTTCCTTGTCGAATGATGTTTATTAGTTGTTAAATATGCATTTAATACCAAGAAAAGTTTCATTTTTTTTAATTCAATTGTTTTAATAAAATAGAAATGAATATTTTTCTACTTTTTGGGAGAATTTCCTATTTTAGAGAAAAATTTTTATATGATATGCAGAAAATATATAAATTCTTGGACATATACAAATTAATTACAAATAAATAATGATATCTTTGTATTAATATCGTATTCGAATAAATTACCATTTCTGTGATGTTTAATTATTAATTGAGAAAATTATTTTTTTTAGTTATTTTTTATAAATAAAAAAAATGTTAATAATTTTTTAGTCATTTTATAAATAAAAAAAACAGAAAAATTTTAAAAAGTTTAATATATTAAACGTTTTCATATTTTTAAAAACTAATCAACATTAATTACATTTTATCTTATATATATGCATTATCTTATATATATGCATTATGAATATATTCAAATTTTGAAATTTTTTAAATTTGAAAACAAAATTCAATTCAAACTCACTTTAGATAGAATAAAATAGTAAAAAAAAAATATTAAATAATAAATATATGATATAATGATGATATTAAAATATATGATATATATAAAATTATTTATATAAATATAAATAATATAATAATATAATTTTATTCTAAAAATTTTTTCATATATTTGCATTAAAAATTAAAATTAAACTTCATATTTTTTTTATAAATTACTTTTCGTTTTTTACTATTTTTGCTTAATTGTATATTTTTTATAAAAAGATCAATTCTTTAGAAAATATTTCTAATAGTTTTTTTCTCATACAGA